CTCTGTGTAACAGCCCTAACTGTCGTGGAACTCTCTTTGTTGTAGATCAGACTGACCTTGAATTCACAGAGGTCCATCTACCTCTGCTTCCCGAATGCTGGGATTAAAGGTGTGTGCCACCAAACCAGGAACAAGTTTTCTCTATAGCTTTGGTCTGGAACTCATTATGTAGACCAGCCTGACCTCAAACTCAAGAGAGCATCCTGTTTCTGTTTCCTGGGTGCTAGGATTAAAGGCATGTGCCATCATGTTGGACTTCATAATTTTTTGAAAGATTTATTTTATGTGTATGATCATTTTGTTTGAATGTATATATGTACACCACTTATGTGGCTGGTGTCCACGGGGGTTAGAACAGGGCATTGGATCTTCTGAAACTGGAGTTATAGATGTTTGTGAGCCATCGTGTGGGTGCTGGGAACCAAACCCCAGACTTCTGCAAGGGCAGCATGCACTTTTAACCACTGAGCCATCTCTCCAACCCCTCATTAAATTTTTTTAAATGTATGTATATGTATGTTGTATGTGTGCTTATGCCACATGTGTGGAGGCCAGAAGAAGGCATCTGATCCCCTGGAACTGGAGTTACAGGCAGCTGTGAGCCACCCAACACGACGTTCCTCTGGTTCTCCCGTCCTCTCTGGGAGCAGCGAGTGTCCTTAACTGCTGAGCCATCTCTCCATCCCACAGCTTGAGAGTTCTTGTCTTAAAGCTACTCAGTTTGTGGTTTTACCTCCCACTGTACACCACGAAGCAGTCCCTAGGGGCCCTGTAGGGTTGGCTTTATTCATCCCCCCTTTATGGGACAGGATCTCAGGCAGCCCACGCTGGCTGCCAGCTGCACACCTGAGGATGGCTGGATGACCCCCGAGTGTCGAGATGGATGTGAATTACCAAACCCTAGTCTTTAGACTCAGACTCACTGGGGAAATTTGCTGAAATGTAGGTTTCTAGGGGAAACCTCAGACCAGAGTCAGAATCCAAAGGTTAGCACTTGAGAATTCTTTTGGGTTTTGTTGTTTTGAGACAATGTCTCTCTTAAGATTTCTTTAATTCATGTATACATTTGTGTTTGGATATGTATGGCACACGTGTGTAGTGGCCCATGGAGGCCAGAAGAGTCCATTATCCTTTGGAACTGGAGTTACAGATGGTTGCAAGCAACCCAACATGGGTGCTGAGCACTGAACTCAGGTCCTCTGGAAGAACAGCCTGTGTTCTTTAAGGTTTATTTTTTATTATGAATACAGTATTCTGCCTGCAGGCCAGAAGAGGGCGCCAGATCTCATTGCAGATGGTTGTAAGCCACCATGTGGTTGTTGGGAATTGAACTCAGGACCTCTGGAAGAGCAGTCAGTGCTCTTAACTTCTGAGCCATCTCCCTGCTGCTCAACAGACTTTTTTTTTTTTTTTTTTTGCAGCACCAGGACCGTAGGTGCATGTCACCTCACCCATCACTAACCTCCTGCTATTTTCAGTTATCAATGGTACAAAGGTACCCAGCTCTGGTAATGTGGAAATGCGTCCGTGACTGCGTACCTGCCGAGCATGCTGGCCAAAGTCCATTGCCTAGTCCACTTCCTTGGCAGCGTCTTGCTATCTTTGTTCTGTCCTTGAGCCTCACCCAGGAGACGCTGTACTAAGCTGTCTTATCTCTGGGCTCCTCTTGGCTGTGACATTTGCTTAGTCCGTCCCTGCATTAGACACGGCTCAGGTGCTTCGCCTGCTGCCCCTCCACTGGGGCCTCTCGCTTATCTGATGATAGCTATGGGTCACTGCAGGGATTGCAGAAGGGGCCAGTGTTGCCACATGCCATTGGTAGCGCGACTTATGCCATCAGCTTGCCTGGCTGAGGTTCTGCTTATCAGACCTAGCAGATCATTTCCGCCACAGAAACAGAGCTGGAGGGAAGGCCTGATTCTGTGACTTTCTGTCACAGTCCTGGCTCTGAAGTCAGTGCTCAGGAGGCCATGTTTACGACTCACATCCGCTGTCTGCTCGCGGCACCTGACACCCAACTTCATCTGCCCACAGTAACCTCACAAGACAGGCAAAGTTGTTATCCCATGGGAAAGTTGAGTGTGTGAGGTCTCCCAGCCAGGAGCCTGCCAAGCACCCATTGCTTGGGGCTGCAAGCTGCCTTGGAGGCCATCAGGGAAGGGTAACACGTCATGGTGGTCAGGTGATCCATAGCCACATGGAAAGCACGGACAAGACACATGCCAGCGCTTCTCTCTGAGGGTGAGGATGAGGGGGGCAATGTGGGCACGGGCTCCTTTCAGACCTAGGGGCACAGAAGCAAGCTAATGGGAGTGAAACAGGTACAGTAGCTCACACCTGTGCAGCCAGCACTCAGGAGGCTGAGGCAGGAGGAGTGTTGTGAGTTTAGGCCAGCCTGGGGGACAGAGTTGGTGACAGCCATGCTCTGTATGATAACCTCAGCCCTCAGCTCAGATCATTCTAAAAAGCTGGGAAAGGTGTAGTGAGCCCAGCTCCAGAGAGGTGGAGACAGAAAGATCTCTGGGGCTTCCTGGCCATCCAGTCTGGCTGAACTGGTGATTTCTAGGTTCATCGGGAGTTCCTGTCTCCAAAAGCAAAGCGGGGAACATCTGAGGAAGAGATAATGCGACCTCTGGCCTCCAAACACATGCGCCTTCCCCTCATAAGGACTTGTTTTGCTGTTTGCTGGTTCAAGCTCACGGTATAACTGAAGATAACCCTGAACTCCTGATCCTGCCACTGCTGCCTATTAATGTTGGGATGACAGGCTTCCTCCAAACATAAGGTAACACCAGTCAAAGCAAGCCAAAAGTATCTCTCTGTGGGTCCAAAGCATCTATAGCACAGAAATACGAGCCTAAGGAGAAAATGGCTTTTTAAGAGAAATCCTGAGGTGGAGAACGGGATCATTAACGGTATTTGAAAACCCACAGAAAAACCCATTTGATAAACTTACTAAAAAATATAATTAAGGGCCAGGCAGTAGTGGCGCACGCCTTTAATCCCAGCATCGGGAGGCAGAGGCAGGAGGATTCCTGTGAGTTCAAGGCTAGGTAGTATACAAAGTGAGTTCCAGGACAGCCAGTAACAGAGAAATCCTATTTCAGAAAACAACAATTAAAAGTTATATATAAACACACACACACATATACATATTTAAGAACAGAATACACTACACAGGGGTGAAGTTTTGCCCCAGAAGCCACAGGTTATTATGGTAAAATGCTGGTGTCCAGTGTGGAATAGCTGGTCAGGATGGTCCCCAAGATCCCCCAACAGTACAAGCTGATGTCGCTCTTGGCTGCCCAGCAGAACATGACAGTTACACACTTTGGTCACTGGACATGAGGAAATCTAGAACCAACCTGGAAACCCCCTTTCATAGTGCTGGCGGGTGCTGTACAAGCTACTGGGGGAGAAAAGTCAACCAACCATCTTCCATAGCGGTGAACCCTCAAGCCACAGTAAAAGACCGTCTCGGCGGGCTGGAGAGATGGCTCAGAGGCTAAGAGCACTAACTGTTCTTCCAGAGTCCCCGAGTTCAAATCCCAGCAAGCACAAGGTGGCTCCTAGGCATCTGTAATTACAATCTTGATGCGATACCCTCTTCTGGTCCACACAGTGCACAGACATACAAGCAGATAAAATAACCACATACAAAAAATGAACAAATTAAAAAATAAGACCACCTTGGCATGATATATGTTCGTTAGTGCAATAGTGGCATTAGTATTTGAGGTGACCAGCAGTTTCCCGCTCAGACGTAGAGCCTGCTCCATAGGAGGGAATCATGCCTGCAACTGTAAATCTGACAAGAATCCGTGGCTGAAGAGATCTTAGGGAAGAGACTACTGTCTTACTCAGCTGCCCTCTAAATCCCATCTTTCCAGAGCTCAGAGCAGCTCTCACCTACACAGCGCAGGGCAGCGCTCGCCTCGTCAGAGACTCACTACTGTCCACCCAGTGAACAGCAGTTAGAGATTGTGATTGTGGAGTGACATCTATATCACACCATCTCCCTCAGGGCTTGGGGCACATCTCAGAAGAGATTGGGGACACGACTGTGAAAATGTCTCCTGGGCATGATGTATTACAGCAGCTTTGGCTGCCTGCAGGAGATCAAGTCAGTCAACTTTCCAGCAAGGATGTGTGGGGCTTATGGGACCCTGTCTTGAGCCCAAACTGGTGAATGATCAGCTGCTGGAGGAGGAGAACCGTTTCTCTTCAGGGATGTAGCCCTTAGTAGGCTATGGATGGCCCCGTTCCCATGCATGTGTCCCACACTAACTGGTCTCAGGGGCTCATAAAATAAATAAAGACTTGAATTTGAGAAGGGGACATGCTGGGGAGGGGGGGTCTAGAAAGAGTTGGAAGGGAACCAAAACATTGTATATGTGTATGCCACTCTCAAAGAATAAAAATATTCTAAAATCCCTTCAAGCCGGGCGGTGGTGGCGCACGCCTTTAATCCCAGCACTCGGGAGGCAGAGGCAGGAGGATCTCTGTGAGTTTGAGGCCAGCCTGGTCTACAGAGTGAGTTCCAGGACTGCAAGGCTACACAGAGAAACCTTTTCTCGATAAACCAAAAAATAAATAAATAAACAAACAAATAAATAAATAAATAAAAAGAAACAAAAATAACTAAAATCCCTTCACGTCCTCTCTGCGGCACCCTCCTGTCAGCACCGTGCTGAGGATGGCACCACACTCCTCTGCCTTTTTCACTGTAGATGTGAACAATTCAGTCTGTACCTGCTCACAGCCAGGGCAGTGGTTAATTACATACGGTAGGAAACTAAACTCTGGGGACCAGGGAGAGCATTGGCTGCTCTTCCGGAGGACCAGTGGTCCATTCCCTGTATTCCTGTGGTAGCTCGCAACTGCTTGGAACTCCAACTCCAGGGCTTTTCCGCCCTTTTCTAGCCTCCATGAGTCACGGGGCACAGACAACACACACGCAAACACTTGCATGCAGAAAAGCAAACCTTTTCAAAGTAATTTTGGGCTTTTTATTTTGGAGATGGGTTTCATGTAGCCTAGAACTCATTATGTAACCAAAGATGACCTTGAATTCCTGAGCCTCCTGCAGGATTAAATACTGACGTGCACTACAAAGGACTCCAGAAAGAGTGGTCCAGGCTGGTGTCAAACGCTGAGTAGTACTGAGATCACAGGTGTGAGACACCACCCTGAAACAGTGAAGATTTTTCCCTAGGGGATAACACATCCCAGCATCAGTCATAGGAATCTGGATAAATCACCAGCAGGCATTAGGTGTTGAGGTGACACTGCCCAGCTCTCCAAAAAGCTAAACATTGGAAGCAGCACAGACTGGCCTTAAATTCACTACGTGGCCAAGGATGGCCTTGAACTCCTGGGCAGAGTCATCATGCCTGACTCTGCTTTGATTTTTGAGACAGAGTTTCTCTGTGTAACCCTAGGCTGGCACTGAACTGTCAAGATTCTAGTCTGAGCTTCCCAAATAGCCAAGATGATAGGTCCGGCCACCACAGCCAGACTATCTCTGCAGTCAGTCTGTGTCTCAAGTAAATGGATCCCCTTTGTTTCTCTGGCATGGCAGGCGTGGGCACTGCTCAGGCCCTTAATGCCACTCTCTGCAAAGTCATCAGCTCTGTCCTGTAAAGAGCCTTTGTCTCTGCCCACCTACATCTGGGCATTCCCTGCCCTGCATAGCTTTCCACCTCCAAAGTGGAGTCTGGGTCCTCGAAGCCCCAAGGCTGCCCAGCACTGGAGAGCTACCGGTGGCCCAGCCTTAGTCTCAAGTTCTTTTTCAGCTCTGCTGCCACCCGGGGGGCTGCAGCCTGGATGGCATCCTGGATGCTGTGTAGGTCCCACTGGGTTCTCAGGAGGGCATCGTCCAGCGTGAAGAAGCCATCCCGAGTGCGCCGCACTTGCACGCAGACAGCGGTGGTCTTCAGCTCCAGGCCGATTTCATGCACCAGCTTCCTCAGCTGCTGCTGCGTCTCGTGCATACACTGCACCTCTGTGGGAGAGAGACACAGACAGACATGACTGACAGAACAGCTCTAGTCAAGCAGATCAGGATCCACAACCCTTGGTCTCTTCTCCACAAGAAACATCCTCCTCCATGAGCTGCTTTTTAGTTTTGTTGGAGGACCTGGAGCACGGCAGTTGTGCAGACCACAGGCCTCACCTGCACCTGCCAGGTCAGATTCCAGCTCCGGATGCTGCAGCTGAGCTGTGAGCAGGCTGGGCTTCCAGCAGCACTGCTCACACTTGGTCTACCCATGGCCCGGGAGTAGGGCATGAAGGCAGCTCTTTCTTTTTTTTTTTTTGTTTTTTTTTGTTTTTCGAGACAGGGTTTCTCTGTGGCTTTGGAACCTGTCCTGGAACTAGCTCTTGTAGACCAGGCTGGTCTCGAACTTACAGAGATCTGCCTGCCTCTGCCTCCCAAGTGCTGGGATTAAAGGCGTGCGCCACCACCACCCAGTAAGACAGCACTTGTAGGGCTTACTGGCTGGGCTTTTGGTAGTGCTCAGGGAAGAAGCCAACAGCACACAGAAGAGGCTGGGGTAAAGCTGGGTGAGGCGCAGAAAGTGACAGTCACATCTGAGGGGCCTCTAACAACATGGACAGCTCTGAAAAGGAGCTGCTAGATCCATGAGGCCTCTGCTTCATGTTGTTTTGGGTTTTGTTGAGGGTGGGGTGTCTCATGACATGGTTTCTCTGTGTAGCTCTGGAACTCTGTAGACCAGGCTGGCCTCAAATTTACAGAGATCAGCCTACCTCTGTCTCCTCAGCACGCTGGGATTAAAGGTGTGCACCACCACTGCCACTGCCCAGTCCAGCCTGTTTCTTTTTTTGTTTTTGTTTTTCAAGACAGGATTTTTCTGTGTAACAGACCTAGCTGTCCTGGAACTAGCTCTTGTAGACCAGATTGGCCTCGAACTCAGAGATCATCAGCCTGCCTATGTCTCCCCAGTGCTGGGATTAAGACACCGCCCAGTCCAGCCTCTGCTTCTTTAAGGCTGGCCTCAAAGGCTTGGGAAGAGAAAAGAGGCAGAGGGCAGTCTTTGCATTGTTAATCTGGGCTAGACTGAGCTTGGATCTGGTGGATAGAAGCCACCTGTGGCTAGCCAACCAGGGCAGTGTACACTGGCTTTGGCATGCCACACATCACTCCAGATCCAGGCTCCATCACCTCACTCCAGCTTCCTGAGTGACTTACCTACAAGGAACTCAGGAGGTGCAAAGTGCAGGCAGCGGATGCCACAGATGAGCATCGGGGACTTGTTCATGGGCCGGATCACACCTTGCACAGCCATCTCATAGGCCTCCTGGGACTTCAGGTCCAGGTTGGAGTACCTGGGGCCAGGAGGGTCAGAATGGGAGGCCAGTGGTAGCTGCCCCACCACAACAGGGCTCTTCACTGTCCGCTACATTCCTCTCCCATCATCTTCCAGTCTCCCCCCACCATCACCAAAGGCATCGTCTGCCAATCCCTGCCTTTACCTATCACATGCTGAACAATCCTGACCCTCCCTGTGCACTGTGCTCCACCCCAGGCACCTTACCTGAGGAGTGCAACCACAAGGGCCCTCCCCACAAATGCCCCAGATCCAGGGTCCCAGGTATCATCCTGGTTCCTTCTTTCTGTGCTCACTCTCCTCTGCCGCTGCTCCCCTGCTGTCTTCCACAGGGCACTCCCTTACAGCCTTGCCTGGTCTTCCTCACAGGGTCCCCAGTGAGATCACAGTCCCCAGCAAACCTTATCCTGCTTCCCTGTGCCCCTGCCCCAGCCCCTCCCACCCCAAGCCCTGACTCAAGAGTACACTGGCCATTTCAGTCCTGGCACCCCTGCTACAGGTGCATAGCACAGGGCCTGGCTCCCGCTTATCCTTTGAGCATGCTCCCTGAGCCATTTCCTGTGATCTCAGCAGGCTCTACCCCTGTTCCTGTCCCCACCTGGAACACTGTGCTCAGGTACAGGTCTGGAGGACAGGGGCTTTCTTGTTCTGATTACAGGCAGCTGGTTAGTTTCCTGGAAGCCCAGGAAAGTCAGAAGTCCCAACCAGCCTGGTGGAGGGCTCTTAGCCAAGCTCCCGGCAATCAGGTGACTCCATCACCCACTCCTACACCCAGTCACCTGTGCCTCAGTGGTGTGGGCCCCTCGTTTCTCCACTTTAGATCACCTGCGCTTGCTCAGCAGGGCAGAGGGAGCTCTGGGATCTACTTACATCACCAGTGCCTTCTGGTGGGAGCCTTGGATTACAGCCAGGATCCGGTCCAAGTGTTCTCTGGTCACATGGTCTGGAAGAGGCACGGCACAGGGGAGTGTCAGTCTACAGACAGCCACAGAGGACAGACTGGGCAAGTGTCTGTCACCCCGAAGCAGCCCATTTTGAAAATGGTCAGAACATCCATGGTGGAGGGGGCAGTCATAGGAGGCTGTCTGTTCAGAGTCCGTTAGGAAGGTTCGACAACGTGAGCAGGCGGCACATCCCAGCGCCTGAGAGTCTACAGCTGGAGGATAATGAGCTGGGAAGCCAGCCTGGGATACAGAGCAAAATGTTGTAACAATAAAAGTAACTGCTAGGTAGTGGTAGCACACACCTTTAAGCCCAGCACCCAGAAGGCAGAGGTGGGCAGATCTCCGAGTTCGAGGCCAGCCTGGTCTACAGAGTGAGTTCCAGGACACAGAGAAATCCTGTCTTGAAAAAGAAAAACAACGAAAAACCCAAAAGATAAAATGTGTCAAAAGATAAAAAGAAAACTTGATGATGAGGCTAAAGATGGCTCAGGGGTTAAGAGCACTGGCTGCTCTTACAGAGGACCTGGGTTCTGTCCCAGCGCCCACATAATGGCCAACAACAATTTGTAACTTCAGTTCCAGGGATTCAGTGCGCTGACCTCCACAGTTCCCTGTATACATGTGGTGCGTTTATACACATATACATAGGAACGCACACATATATGGAAAATTATTTTTAAGTTGATGATAACTGGACTCTCTGCTCAGCAAGATTCAGTGTGTGTGGAGTTTCCTCTGGAAATGAAGGAATTCACAACGTGACTTGCCCTAATCTGGGGCTGTCCATGCTAGTGATTGCAGGAGACAGGCACTACCTGGCCAAATTACAGAAGCAGGCAGCCTGAGGGAGGAGCAGCTCTGCCCCGGGACCCACTGAGGGACTGGGCACCTAAGCCTGGGACCGTGGGGCACAGCAGTGACCCATGCCAACCTCTATGCAATGGCAGGATTTGGGGACAGTTACAGCTGAAGCCTCATCGACCGCAGTCTCTAGCCGGACTGCACTGAACCGCCATGCCACCGAGATCGACTTGCTTGTCTCCCTCCCTCTTACAAGCCCAATCCAGTGCTTCCTCATCCAGGAAACCCTCCCAGATCTCCCAGCTTCTTCCTCTTCCAGGGAGCAACACCCCCGACCCCAGCCTGCTAGCTTCTTCCCCTTGATGACTTTGCACCTGGGTCTTTCCCAACACCCACTGTACCCTGACTTTTACTCTACTTTTCACCGTGTAACTGATATACGAAGAACTGGGGATTTTCTTCGTAAAAGTCCCCAATTCTTCGTATATCAGTGGTAGAGCAAGCACAGGCCGAGTTTGGGCCTCAGGACAGACAAGAAAAAAAAATGTGTATGAATCTCCTTTTAAAAGTTTTTATTAAAGCTGGAGAGATGGCTCAGCAGCTGAGAGCACTGGCTGCTCTTCCAGAGGACCCAGGTTCAATTCCCAGCACCCACATGGCAGCTCACACCTTTCTCTAACACTACTTCCAGGGATTCTGACACCCTTACACAGACATACAGGCATGCAAAACACCAAAGAATACAAAATAAAAATAAATTATATAAAATAAAGTTATTAATAGCTGGGTGGTAGTGGCCTATGCTTTTAATTCCAACAATCGGGAGGCATAGGCAGGCTCTCTGAGTTCAAGGCCAGCCTGGTCTACAAAGTGAGTTCCAGGACATCCAGGGCTACACAGAGAAACCCTGTCTCAAAAAACTAAGAGTTTGGGGCTCGAGAGATGGCTCAGCGGTTAAGAGCATTGCCTGCTCTTCCAAAGGTCCTGAGTTCAATTCCCAGCAACCACATGGTGGCTCACAACCATCTGTAATGAGGTCTGGTGCCCTCTTCTGGCCTGCAGGCATACACACAGACAGAATATTGTATACATAATAAATAAATAAATATTAAAAAAAAACTAAGAGTTCTTCTTATTATTATTATCATTTTAGCTTTTTTGAGACAAGGTCTCACTATACAGCTCTGACTATCCTAGAACTTGCTATGTACACCAGACTAGCTTCAAACTCACAGAGCTCCTCATGCCTCTCTACCTTCTACTTTCTGGGTGCTAGGCTTAAAGGTGTGAGCCACCATACCTGACTTTCTTAAAAATTTTTAGGTTATGTGAGGCATGATACTGGTGCACATAATACCAGCATTCCAGAGCCAAAGGCGGAAGCAGGTGGATCTTTGAGAGTTCAAGGCCAGTCAGGGTTACAGTCTCAAAAGAGACTGGCTAAGGGCTGACAGGATGGTTCAGTGGGTAGAAGAGCTTACTGCACAAAACAGGCAACCTGGTGGGAGCTCAGCCGGATGGGGGGCGAAGAGGCTCTTAAGCTGGAAAACTTTGGTCCCTATTTTGTTCCTTTGCAACTGGAAGTTGTCACCTGCCCCTGCTGAGTTTGACCCAATCCCTAGAATCCATGGTAGGAGAGAACCAACTCCAGAAAGCTGCCGTATAGTCTCTATATGTGTGCCATGGCACCCCGCCTCATTCTCTTACCTATGTGCAAACACACACACACACACACACACACACACACACACACACACACTAAAAAAGCTAGGTCAGCATGCCAGGCATGATTGGATCACATCTGTAATTCCAGCACTCAGAGGCTGACATAGGAAGACGGCCATGTGTTTAAGCCCAGCCTGGAGTACATAGCAAGACCCTGTTTCAAAAAAAAAAAAAAAAAAAAAAAACACAGATGTGCCTCCCCCAGATCCTGGCTTCCTCCCACCCTGACTTGGAATATTTGTGCACACTGTGAAGATGTGTCTCTGCCTAAGGCACCTTCTGATTGACCTAATGAAGAGCTGAAGGGCCAATAGCTAGACAGGAGGATAGGTGGAATTTCTGGGGAGAAAGATCTAGGTGCACAGATTTCACCAGACTCTGAAGAAATTGGACATACAGCAGAGAATAAAGGTAAATGAACCACATGGTAGAACGTACATGAATAGAGACAGGTAATTTAAGCTATAAGAGCTAGTTAGGAAAAAGCTTACGCTAAGACCAAGCTTTCATAATCAGTAGTAAGTCCCTGCTGCATCATTTCTGGGGAGCTGGTGGCCCCACAAAAGAAAGTCCAACTACATTTGAGAAAGCTTGTTACAGCAACAGAAGCACCAGCTTGCTCAGGGTTTCTATGCGTTTGGGATGCTGACACACACTGGACGTCCAAACACGGCTTTACTGATACGTGGCTATCTTTAATCTGCTGCCAAAGAGGGGCAGGTGAAGCCAAGTTCATCACCACTGGGCCCCATGTGATCCACCCTGTGTCCTCCAGCCCCTGGTCGACTGCTGGTGCCCAGAACTATCAGCTGTCGAAGGAACACTTGAAGCCCCGGGGCCTGTCTTGGAATACAGGGCTAGTGAGAAACCACTTATCCTCCATCCATCACCACACACCTACACTTAATATGATTCTTGGCTCTGTGCAACTCACGTGGCCACCGATGAAGCTCCCACTCCATGTCTCGTGAGGACAGTGCAAAAGCAGATCTTAAACAACCGCTAGCTGGTTTCCCTTCTGTGAGCATCTACTGCAAGGCTGAGGTGGGGAACATTTGAATCAGTGAGGAAGCAGGCCCAGGGCATTCTGGGAGACAGGTGGTGAGTGCAAAGCTGCGGCCTGGGCTTGGTGTGCCAGAACCAGACAGGCACCAATGTGATCTAGAAGGGTCAAGGATCAAGGCGACGGGAAAAAGGGAGGCTGAGGCAGCCACCTCTCCTGCCCCACCTCCGACTCTCACCATATGTGGTCTTCTCTATCAGCCGCCCATCTTCACAGAAGTTGTCTGTAGCCTTGCCTAGGTGGCCGCGCACTGTGTAAGCCTGTGGAGACAGGACAGGGAAGTCCCCATTCTAAGCTCTGGAGCTAAGGAAGTGACAGGCTGATGCTAGATGGAGCCTGCTGCCCTTCTACCCTGGGGAGGGTGTGGGCTCTGCTCTGGAGCTCGGCCAGCCCTCTGTGCGCTGCTCCCAGTGATCTGGCATGGTGCCAGCTCTAGTCTCCACCCGCCTGCAGTAGACTGTCACCCCACACAGGCCCTGTCAGCCCCTGCGCGGGCTAAGTCTCAAGGCCCATGTCAAGGCCAGGGCTCACTGCTCAGAGAACTCCCTTCTGCCAAGTCTGTCCAGAAGCTGCCTCTTCCTGGGGTGATGATGTTGAGGAGGACAGAGACGGTGATGACAGTGACACTGACTTAGTTTGTACTCTGCCAGGGACAGAGCCAAGGTTTCATCTGCAGCCATTTTAATCCTCAATGAGACTGTCTCAGGGAATGTTCTCTTCATTCCCATCACAGACTTGAGGAAACTGGAGCACAAAGATGCTCCCCGCAGGACACACGGCCTGCCGCTGGAGGAGGGGCAGAAGATGGATTCTGTACTTTTTTAGTGCTAAGTGTCTCCCCACAGCCCTGAATCGGGGTTGTGAACTGTGCTGGTCAGAACTGAAGACACAGAGCTCAAGTGTCCCCTCAGCAGACATCACAGTACCAGTCTATGTCCCCACCCAGCCCTGGGGAAGCCCGAGGAAAGGACGGTGACATCCACATCTCGGCCTTGCAGTGAGAACAGAACGCTGGGCTCAGACTGCGGTGTGGGACAGATCCAAGCTCAAATTTCAGCTGCTAAGCTCACACAAACTGTGACCCTGGTGAGGCACCTTTCTCCTAAGCCTCAATTACTCAGCAGGAAAATGGGAGAGCAGGTAAGTGGGGTGAGGTTTCTGTGAAGGGATCTACACACAGCTCATGGCTGTGGCAGAGTAGAGCAGGGATGGTACTTGATGCTCTATCACTAGTTATTCCTAGTCAAAAGGTGACAGAAAAGGTTTGCTGGTGGCCTAGGTCGTTCCTGTCAGTGTGAGCCCTGGGAAAGAACCAAGGGATAAACAGGCTGTCCCCATATTTTTGGAGCACCATACCTTGGTGAGGTGAGCATCATACATGTTGGTGAGGAGTCTGCATCCATGTCCCACGGCGAGCACTGGAAGGTAGCCAGACCCCTCTTATAACTAGAGTCCCCTTCCCTGGGAACTACCCTTGCCGCTCCCTGCTACCAAAACACTCTCCCTTCTCTTGCTGCTGCAGCCAGAAAGGGACATGGAGAGCTCTGACATCCAGATTGGAAGCCCCTCGGAGCAGATGTCCACCCTAATCTCCAGGGTTGGGCTAGGCTGGGATCTGGCTCATGGTGGGAAATGGGCCTGAGCACTTGAGGAAGCTCCCAAGGGGCTCTGAAACACCCCCAAAGCAAGAGACCACTGTCCCCGCTCCATCAAATTGTAATTACATTTGGGGTGGGAGGGGCGGCACACACCTGTAATCCCAGCACTTGGGAGGCTGAGGTTGGAGAACCTTGAGTTCCAGGACAGCCTTGCAAGTAGTCAGATATTGTCTCAAATAAATATATAACTGCATAAACTTTAAAAATAAAATAAATCCAAGTCTAGTTGACGCGTGCCTACAATCCCAGTACTCAAGGAGGGTCAAGAGTTCAAGGTCATTCACAGCAAGGTGAAAGCCAGCCTGGGCTCACTAAGACCCTACCTCAGAAAGCAAAAGTGAGTGAGTATCTGGACTATGTTTTGGTTTTTTTGTTTGTTTAATTTTTCTAGACAAAGTTTCTCTGTGTATCAGCCCTGAATGTCCTGGAACTCAATTTGTAACTCTGTAGACCAGGCTGGCCCCAAACTCAGAGATCAGCCTGCCTCTGCCTCCCAAGTGCTGGGATTAAAGGCGTGGGCCACCTGGGTCTGACTCTAACTTTTAATGGCTTTGGCCCTTCAGTCAGTAAAACAGATAAGGAAGCTCAGGCTTGGGGGAGACAACACATAGGAAGCTAAGGGTACAAAGGAAAGACCTAGAACAGTGGCCTATGGGGCCACTTCCTGCCTGTTTCCTGATCTGTTTATTCGTCTGTCTAAAGACATGAATGGCTTTCCATTCACAGCTAGAGAAAAGGACAGGGAGGGGACATGAGATCATGTCTGACTGTCTGCACCTCAGGAAGAAAGATGAGGGAGCCAAGACTGCGGAGGCTGGACAATGCAGCTACCACACGACCCTGAGGCCACAGGTGGCTTGTGACTCAGGGCTTCTGGCAATATCCAGACCCTAGCCAGAAGACAAAGCCATATGCCTAGGCTGCACCCTAACTTAATGGTGGCTCCTCTGGGGACATGAGCATTTACTGGCTAGGCCAGGTCACCCCAGCTCTAGTCCCTCTCTCTCTCTCTCTCTCTCTCTCTCTCTCTCTCTCTCTCTCTCACACACACACACACACACACACACACACACACACACACACTCATATAGCACCTACCACAGGTTTGGTAAATAATGTCCCTAAAAGGCCTTGAACCACAGGTCATGCAGGAGTCCCTCGACAGAGGTGGACCCTCCCCTTGCACAAATCACCCTTCCAGTTGATGAGACACATGAAATCCCAGGAGACAGCAGTGGTGAGAAAGGAAGGTCGGTCATGGGCTGGGTTCCTGACCCTTCCTGACCCTTCCCCAGCCCACAGACCCACACTGCTAAGCTGAGTCCACCTCTTACCCAGCACACCAGAAGCCTGGGAATCCAAGCGATGTCCAACACCAATCTTCAGGCTGGTAAACGCTGGGCCACGTACTGGAAAGAAAAAGCCAGTTCATTTCCTCAACTGATGAGCCCTGGGGATGGTTTTGGAATATGCCCTCATTCCTAGAACAGAGGAGCTGTTAGGGCTCAAATTATGATAGGCTAATGTCTCAGCCTTCCCCTCCATGGAAGCTGGGACCAGGACTATTTCCCCAGTTCCCTGGATCCAGAGAAAGGAGAACCAATGAGGTTCCTTGCTCTGCCCTATCACCATTCTCCCCACGAAAGGCTCCAAGACCAGATATTACATTGGGGATCAAGACTGGGGGTTCTCTGCACGGCATTTGCTGGTAGAAAACCTGGCCATTCTCCCACTGAGACTGTGGGCTCCGTGAGACCTGGACTCTGTCTACAACACCACCCTATGGTCCAGATCCAGTCTCTCAACGACTGAACACAACTTAATGCGTCCCAGCGCTTCAGAGGCAGATGCAAGCGATCAGGATCAACTATAGAGTGAATTCAAGACCAGCATGGACTACAGGAGGCTCTGTGTCAAGACACAAAAGCCAGCTGGTGAGATGGCTCAGTGGGCAAAGATACTTGTTGCTAAGCCCGCTCGTCTCACTTTGATCCTGGACCCACATGGCAGACTGAGAGAACTGACTCTCAAAAGATGCCCTGACTTCCACACCCATGCCCTGGCATCCACGCAAATGCACATACACATCAAATAATGCATTTTTTTTTTTAAAGAACATACCTGACAGAACTACAGTAAGGAGAAAGGTAACCCAGTGTGTACAGGACAGGTATTAACTAATTAACAACCTAAGTCTACCTGCAGTCCTCAGTTTCTGTACAGAGTCCACACACTACAGTTAACAGGTCTGCCTCGTTCTGAGACTCGGTCTGTGCTGCCCAGGTTGGCAGGGAACTCCTGAGCTTAAGTGATCCTTCTGCCTCAGCCTCCCTAGCAGACAGAACTCTGGGTGTGTGCAAATATGTCAGTCTTAACCAGAATATAGAAAGGCTCCCTCCTCTCCATACCGTCTAGAGTTGCTTTGCACTACAATGGCAAAGCTGAGAGCTGCTGAGAAAAACACACGGACTGTAAGGCTTAAAATGTGTACATCTAAGGACCTTTGCCAGTCCCTGGGCTAGAAGTCTAACTCAGGCCAGGGATTTCAGCCTCCTGCCTGACTCTGCCTTACCGAGTCTGTGAGTGGAGAGGGTAGGCACACTCGTGGCTGTGAGAGTCAACTTCTTCTCTTCACTGCCTTCCACGGGGCCTAGCAAGAAGCGAACACGGTGCTCAGGAGCCGGAGGCTTCGCTGCATTGAGACCTGAATACAAAGGAGCACACTGTCAACACTGTCCCAACACCTGGGAGAAGGGGTAGACCTATGGTAGGGTAGAAGATAGATTTGTGTAATGTAGAGAATAGAATGAGAGGCCTTAAGACAAGGCATTGGGGAGATGGCTGGAGAGATGGCTCAGAGGTTAAGAGCACTGGCTGCTCTTCAAGAGGACCTGGGTACAATGCTCAGCATCAACACAGCAATTCACAGCTATTTGTAACTCCAGCTCCAGGGACTCTGACGCCCTCACAGAGACATACATGCAAGCAGGCAAAACACCAATGCACATAAGATAAATTATTTTAGAGAAATAAAAGCTGGGCATGGATGGTGGGGAAGGAGGATTACTACATGCCTTCAGTCCCAGCATTCAGAAGGTTAAGGCAGGCAAGTTTCTGTGAATTTGAAGCCAATCTGGTCTACAGAGCAAGTTCCAGGACAGCCAAAGCTACACAGAAAAACCCTATCTCAAAACAAACAAAAAAAAAAAAACAACAAAAAACAAAAACAAAACAAAACCCAGACCAAAACTACAAGAGTCCTGAAGAAAAACTGGGCTGGAAATGTGGAAATGTAGCTCAGTTGATGGAATGTTTACACAACACACAAGATGCCCTGGGTTCCATCCCCAGCACCACAAACAGAGGTGGTGGTGCACTGATGTAGTCTAAACCTTGGGAAGTAAAGGAAAGGGCATCAAAATTCCAAATGAGGTTACATGTGAGTTGTTTTAAAAAACGAAAGAAAGAAAAAAAGACAAAAATTTGTGGTTTGAAGCTCGGTGTGGTAGTGCAGGCCTGTGGTCCCAGCATTTGGCAGGTAGAGACAGAAGTCCTTACTGATTTCAAGGTCGTATTAATTAATTACTCGAGACCCTATCTCTATAATAGTAACCGTACAAAAACCAACAGTATGGAATGCGTTTCTCTAGCAGAAAACAGCGGAGAGTGGGGAGGAAGGAAATGTATACAAGAGGAAAGCGGCTATAACCAGGCGAATGTGTCACGTGACTGTCTGCAGGCAGGATCCGAATCAAGATGTAACTAATGCAGAACCGTGGGGTCGGCGTCGAAGCGCTCACCTTTCAGCAGTTGCAGCTCCACGGTCTCCCGCACGTGCAGCCATTTCAGCCCGGGAGGTTTATAAACCGCGAAGAGCCCCTGCAGTCGAGCCAGACCCGAAGACCCCATGGCTGGCACTCAGCAGTACATCATCCAGAAGCTGGGATGCAAGCGGAAGAGCCATGTGGTCCGTTCCCAAATGTGGTCCCTACTGTAGGTCGCTGCCATGTTTCCTCAGCCGGAAGAGGTTCTTTTGTCATTGTCCTCCGGGGGAAAACATGAGGTGAGGAGAAGGAAATAGGGCCGAATGTTGAACTGCACAGCTCTCGGTTATGGTCTTTCGGGAATCCCTTCCAGTTTTTGTTTGTTTCTCATATATCCCGGCTGCTCTCGAACTTGCTCTGTTGCCAAAAATTCGTGATTTTCCTGTCTCTACATCCCAAATACTGGGGTGACAGATGTAATTCAGACCGCTCTGTGTTTTAGGCATGGTCTCAAGTAGCCCAGGCTGGCTTCGAACTTAGTAAACAGCCAAGAAGGACCTAGAACTGATTCTCCGGCTCCCAGGTGTCAAGTGCTTGGTTGACAGGCATGCGCTATCAATAACGCCTAGCTCACAGCAGAAGTCTTACGTCAGCGGAAGACAGAGCCTGTGACTTTCTTTCTCATTCCCCCGTCCATATTACAGCACTTCCGATCAAAACGGCACAGTGAGTAGTGCCGTCCCGGTAGAGCCTTTTGACTTCTCCGGCCTCCGTCGTGCCAGCGGAGCCCCGCCCACCCGCCGCGGACATCCGCGGCCATGGTGACCCTGCTGCTTCGCTCTCTACGTCTGCACCGCAATCGCCCTCGCGGTCAGCGGCTAGCTGTAGGTGAGCAGCCCTGACCTGGGCATCCGCGGCGACTGGAGGAACCGGGCTCCTCTCACCCGTACCCCTTCCCTGCCCCGCAGATGTACCCCTCAGGAACGGGAGCCATGGCACCCGCCCGCTGTACCCGGACCATATCCCCACCACCTCGCTGCAAAAGATACTGCTGGCCGCAGGCTCGGCGGGAATGGCGCTCTACAACCCCTATCGCCACGGTAAAGCCGGTTGCTCCCCGCCCTTGAATGCCCGGGCCTCTTTCATGACCTCTGTCAGAGTTGGTTTCCTAACCGGAGAATCAGGCAGTCGCGGACACCCAAACCTGACTGCGTCAATCTCATAGTCCCCAGTAACGTTTATGATAATCAGGTGCCTGGTTCTAGCCAAAGGCACTGCAATGAATCTGCTGGGCAGAGGGAGGAGAGGAGAAAGAAGCATGAAATTTACATACAGGTCTGGGTTTTTGTAATTCTTGGGAGAGTCTGTCATCTATGCATATTAACTTTTGGACTGAATGACTTGACAGTACACACCACATTGTCACATTCTCACTAGGTAGTAAACTTGGTAAGGTCGTGGTTTTCTTTGCTGAATCAGTTCAAGACCAGCTTGAGCTACATGGCCAGTCTTTGTAAAAGAAAAGAAGACGGGTAGGAGAGGAAGAAGACCTATAAAGTCACATCTAGTGATTGTACCTGCACTCAAATCTAGCACCATTTTTAAGAATTGTTTTGTTAAAACAAGGCCTGATGTAGACTAGGCGGGCCTCTAACTCGCTACTTAGCTCAGAATGACTTTGAATTCCTGATTGTCCTGCCTCCCCACCCTGCGAATGCTGGTATTAAAGGTATGTGATGCTGGGATTCAAACTCCAGGCTTTGAGTGTGCTAACCAAGCACTCCGTCGGCTTAGCTACGTCAGCCCTTCATTGCCATTTAATCTCAAGCCTGGCCTGTACTAATCAGTGAAAACATGGTAATCTTTTTTTGGAAATGGGAAATGAAAGTCATTCACACACTCTGATGATCAAAGCCTTCACATTCTAGTAGGTTAGTAATGTTAAAAATACCAGCTATTGCCAGCTTTTGGGAGGCAGAGGCAGGCAGATGGTTCTCTGTTAGTCTGAGGCCAGCCTGGTCTGCAGAGCGAGTTCCAGCATAACTAAAACTAAGGCTGTTACACAGAGAAACCATGTCAAAGAAAAAAAAAGAGCTATTATGATGGCAAATACCTTTAACCTAACACTTGGGAGGCAGAGGCAGGAAGAGTGTTTGAGGCAAGCCTAGTCTACATAGTGAGTTCCAGGACAGTCTGTACTACAAAGACAGGCTGTCTTAAAAATCAAAAGGACCCCACCTCCATCTGTCCCATTTCTGTCCTTTTAGACATGGTTGCAGTTCTAGGGGAGACCACAGGATGCCACACCCTGAGATTCCTCAGGGACCAGATGAAGAAGGATCCAGAGGGTGCCCAGATCCTACAGTAGGTCCCAACTTTGCCTTGACATTTGGCAGGGGTCCTGACCTTTCTAGAGCCACGCTCTGTTAGTCCTCTTCCTGTAAGGAGCCCTTCAGAGGACTACGGGTGGACAACACACTGCCCGGGCACTGCTCAGTACCAAGAGCACGCATACACGTGTATAGGCTGGATCCCCTGGGTTGAACAATATGTTGTCTTAGTCCAGTGTCAGCCTCAAGACTCCACTTGCATTAAGTCTTAGTGTGTTAGCTGTACCCCTCCAAATGTGTTCTTGCTATCCCCTTCCTGCAATGTCACTTGGGAATACTCTTATCACATCTGTGACCCCTCGTCTGACCAGATCATGACTTTGAAGGTGCTAGCTCAGCCCTGATTTGTGATGTTCTCCACAGTCCCCAATACTGCATGCAGTGCTCCATTAGGGCATGTGACTACATGGATGTCCTATGACCCTTTGCGTACCCCAACTTCCTCTATATGGCCCTTTCACTAACCTTGGCTGACACATTCCCAGTCTCACCTCCTGCATTCTGTCTTTCAGAGAGCGTCCCCGGATCTCACTGTCCACCCTTGACCTAAGCAAGCTCCGGAGCCTGCCTGAAGGCTCTCTGGGCCGTGAGTATCTCCGCTTCCTGGATGTGAACGTGAGTTTCCAGGCTCTGTGCATCTAGCAGTTCCAGCAAGGGCAAAGAAGTGGCATAGGGACGATAGCCTAGGGCAGGGAAGTGCCTGAGCTGCCAACTCAGACACGAGTGCTTTTCAGTCATTTTTCTATGGGATGGGCAAATGGACTGGGAACGTCATCCCGGATACTGGCACCGGCTGGAGGTTATTAACCTCCTGTTGCATGCCAGCTGCCAGGCTGGTACATGATCTGGCCGGATCCTCCCAGTGACCCTGTCAGGTATGTTCTGTTGTCATCCTCTTGCAAGAGATGAGGACACAGACACAGCCTAGTGAAATACCTTGGTCGCTTTACAGCTAGTTCCTCTCAGGTCAGTGTTCAACGCCAGCGTACTCTCTGACCCACTGCCCTGTGCCCCCCTGCCTCTCTCGAGTATGGCCAGCACCAGGCAAGGAAGATGGTGAGAGGAAAGGGGGCTCTCGATGAAGCACAGTTAATAAAAATTCAGAGACTGATATTGGGATTTAACCTGAAGATCCAAAAAGCAAAGCAGCCAGCCACTGGCTCTTACCTCGACCTCAGTCCGAAATGGTGATCCTGACTCCAGGAATCTCAGAATGAGACTGTGACTAAGAGCTCCTCCCGTCTTATAATCCTCTCTGGGCTGGGATTAAAGGCATGCACCGCCCGGTTTCTATGGCAACTAGTGTGGCTACTGGGATTAAAGTTGTGTGTTACCACTGCCTGGTCGGTAAGGCTGGCCAGTGCGGCTGTTTTACTCTCCCGATCACCAAGCAAACTGAAATGCCACTACACTTCAGTTATCGATGGACTCACCACTCAGCATCGGCCACCATCCTCCCACGTGCTGGGGTGCAGCGAGCCTGGTTCCTGTCCCTGTGCAGCTTGTGCTCTTATGACAGAGGCAGCTAATGAAGTGGTTTTGAAAAAGCTCAAATGAAAACGTCATGGTCTGGGGATGTAGCTCTGTTGGTAGAGTTCATGCACAAAGCCCTGGGTTCCATCCCCAGCACTGCATGAACTTGGTGTGGAGTAGAAGGAAAAGGATCCAAAGGTCAGGGCCAGCCTTATCTGCATAATATCTTTTTGACCATCCTGGGACACATGAGACCCTGCCCGTCCCCTTTTGAGGTGCAGAGTATTTCTTGAGTACTTAGAATAACCAGACTTCATTCTCAACCATGGGACACAATGAACAAAACTAGCCAAACTCCTGCTGCTGGTAAGCCTAGCAGATGGACGCTCTGAAGGGAACAATATGATTGACATAGGGTATCTCTGGATGGGTAGAGGAGGCCACTTGGTAGAGCTGTCTGGAGAGACCCTTCCAGGGAAACTTGGAAGATGAGGCGATGTCACTCTGTAGAGTTCTGGAGAAGAGTCCTCTAAGCCCTGTTGAGAAGGACGATGCAGAGGCCGGGACGACGGCTCTGCTGGGATGGTGCTTGCTGCTTAAGCATAGGTACCCGAGTTTGGATCCTCGGCACCCATGTGCAGTCAGAGCTAGCAGTTCATACCTGTAAGCCTGGCACTTGGGAGGGAGGGAGAATTGATTCCAGAGCTCGCTGTCCAGCCAGCTGATCTGAATCAGTGAGCTCCAGGTTCAGTCTGAGATCTGTCTCGGAAACTAAGGGGGCATGAGGGAGACACTCAACACCAACCTCTGGCCACACACACATGCCATGCATGTGCATACGAACATACACATTTTAAAAAAAACCCGAAAATCAAGTCCAATGCTGTGATGTGCACCTACAAGCCTATTACTTGAGAGGGTGAAGCAGGAGGGGTGCCACTGAGTTCATAATCAGCCGTGGCTACATAGGGAATAGCCAGCCCTGCCATACTTACATGGCAAGATCCTGTCTTTAACAGGCAGATGGGCTGGAGAGATGGCTCAGTTAAGTATGCTTGTTATGAGCTGGGTGGTGGTGGCACACGCCTTTAATCCCAGCACTCGGGAGGCAGAGGTAGGTGGAACTTTGTGAGTTCTAGGCCAGCCTGGTCTACAAAGTGAATTACACAGAGAAACCCTGTCTCAAGATTAAAAAATAAATAAATGTGAAAACTAAATTAAATCAAGGCATTGCTTCAAGACAGTAACCTGCCTCTTGCCCTCTACTAGTACCTGTGCCTTGGCAGGGCCGTCTCCGTCTCTTGCCCTAGTTTCACCAGGATGTAGGTTATTTCATCAGTGAGAACCTGCCCCAAGTGCCACCGTGGGAGGGACAGCTTCTGATTCTCCAGAAAACTCAGGCCTGTTGATGGGGGGGAGGGTACTGCGGGCCGGCCTGGGCACTTTACCCAGCATTGTCCCCACTGCGGTGGCAGTCTGAAAATGTGGTGCTTTTAGGACAAGGTTTGAGCCCTACAGAGATTTAGGTGAAGGATCATGGTAAAGCCATGGGAATTGAGGCTGACATTGCTGAAAGATGTGGTCATCCTTTGGCAAATCAAAGGAACGGAGGTAGTGCACTGCCAGTCTTCCCCGTTCCACAGCCCTACACAAAGCCTACCCGGAAGAAAATCCTTTTATCTTCAGGGCACTAATGTGCCCAGTTGATAATGAATGCCAAGGCTACTGGGTTTAAAGGCTTACAGACTGTGTTCCAGGTTAACTCAGCCACTTCAGCTGTGCGATCTTGGGCCCCACACTTCGCCCTCCTAGCCATGTTTCTTTGCACCTATTTTGAAGTTCCTAATAGTATCTCCCTCCTAGAATACTGAGAGGGCAGAGGATGGCAGAGTGGGTAAAGGATGTCATGTGTAGCTGGCCCATAGGACATTCTCAGTGAAACCGACTGCTGTTTCTGTGATGGCTTCAGCTTCATACAGCAAAAAGAAATGAGGCTGTGAGACCCAGCAAGGCCACAGATTAGCACCAAGCATAGCGCTATGCCAGAGCTGCTGCACAGATCTCAAGTCTGTCAGCTCCTGGGTAAGCGGAGGGCATGCTTGGAGCAGGCTGGCCAGGCTGACCCCGTGTGTTCAGACACCGATGCAGACTCAGGAGCAGGGTTCAGTAAGTGAGGATAATCCACCTCCTTACCTGTGCTCAGAGAGTGTACATACCTGTAATCCCAGCAGAAGAATGGCCATGATTTCAAGTTCAGCCAGGGATGCACAGCAAGGGACTTCCTACAAAACAACAGAAAAGAAGTTGTTCATCTGGGTCCTGCCTAGGCACCAGAGTCACAGCAGTGAGTGAATGGCAAGCCCTGTCCTCAGGTGTCCAGACTGGACTTGGACTATATGGAGGATTTAAAGCTTCCTAATGGCCCCAGGAATAAAGCGAAAGGAAGCTTATAGAATTAACTTAATAGTGACATTTTGGCATTTACTTTTGACTTTTAGAACAGGCTCATAGCATAGCCCAGGGTGGCCTCAAATTCTTTGTGTTGCGGAGACAGAGGCAGGCGGATCTCTGTGAGTTCGAGGCCAGTCTAGTCTACAAAGGGAGTTCCAGGACAGGCTCCAAAGCTACAGAGAAACCCTGTCTCGAAAAACCAAAAAAAAAAAAAAAAAAATTCTTTATGTTGCTAAAAATGACCTTGGACTCCTGATCCTTCTGCCTCTGCCTTGAGACTGCTGGGATTACAGCTATGTTCCACTATGCCTGGTTTCATCAGTACCAAGGGTATGGTAGGCCCGCACCCTGTCAACCAAGCTACACCCTCAGCTCCATGGCAACCATTAAGTTTATAGTTCAGTAATGGTGTATTTATTTTGTGTGTACAAATTTATATGTGTGTGTGTCTGCATGTGTGTAGATTCTAGAGATTGACAAGTGTCTTCCTCAACTTTATGTTTTGAGTCAGCTCGAACTTGGAGATCATCAGTTTGACTAACCTGGCTGGCCTGCAAGTCCCAGGTCACCTCCTGGCCTGCTGTTTCTGCCTTCCATGTGCTGGGGTTACAGGCACATGGGCTGCAACCACGCTTTTGTTTGTTTGTTTACTGTGTAGCTGCTGGGGACGTACAACAATCACTTTATTGACCAAGTCGACTCCCCAGCTCCTAGTATGTTCATTTTTTATGCAACTAATCCTAGAACTTCCTTTCTTACAAAACATAAAGTCCATACTCCCCCTTTCCTCACTAAGGCTGTAGATTCCAACAGGCATTGTGAGTTGGGAGTGGGAGCAATCGGGATCTTCCCCTGTTGGTAGGTGTGGATGGAAACAGGATTCTCAGATAGGGTATGAATTTGTGGGGAATGGCTGAGACTCAACTAGCTGCAGGCCAGATGAGTCCTGGGGGCTGATGGGAAGGAGTCCAAGTAAAGGTTGTGTTTGCCAGAGGGTCTCCCCAGATACACGAGCACCTACCCGTTTCGTGGACGATGAGGAACTAGCCTATGTGATCCAGAGATACCGAGAGGTGCATGACATGCTCCACACGCTGCTGGGGATGCCCACCAATATGCTGGGTGAGTGCTGGGGATGCCCACCAATATGCTGGGTGAGTGCTGAGGTGCCCACCAATATGCTGGGTGAGTGCTGGGGTGCCCACCAGTGTGCTGGGTGAGTGCTGGGGTGCCCACCAATATGCTGGGTGAGTGCTGGGGTGCCCACCAGTGTGCTGGGTGAGTGCTGGGGTGCCCACCAATATGCTGAGTGAGTGCTGGGGTGCCCACCAATATGCTGGGTGAGTGCTGGGGTGCCCACCAGTGTGCTGGGTGGGTGAGTGCTGAGGTGCCCACCAGTGTGCTGGGTGAGTTAGTGCTGGGGTGCCCACCAATATGCTGGGTGAGTGAATGCTGGGGTGCCCACCAGTGTGCTTGGTGAGTGCTGGGGTGCCCACCAATGTGCTGGGTGAGTGCTGGGGTGCCCACCAGTATGCCGGGTGAGTGAGTGCTGGGGTGCCCACCAGTATGCTGGGTGTGTGCTGGCCCAATAGAAAACTGAGTGGCCAATGGCAAGGTAACCCACACGGTCTGTCTTCCAGGCAGGGTCCCTGTTCATACCTCTTCTTTACCAACTAGCTCAGTTCCTGCCTTGTCTTCTGTATTATATGTGCATCCTGGTAGCATCCCTGCCCTACATCCTCTTTCCTCCATGCCTGCCTCCCCTTGTCTCTAGACACCAAGGATCCCTGCTTCTGAAACCCATAGAAACTCCCTGTAGCCTGTACAGACCACTGTTAGCCTGGCCTTTGAGATCCTCTGCATGTTGTCCCCATGTGCTGGACCTTCCCTCACTTCTAGCCAAATGTCCCACAGCCCATGTAGGATGGGACTAGACACCAGCAAACAAACCTAGAAGTGTAAACGGAGACCATGCCTCACTGGGGGCCGTTCCAACACCACTGACTCCCTGCTCCTCACCTCTTACCTCTAGGAGAGGTTGTAGTGAAGTGGTTTGAAGCTGTGCAGACCGGCCTGCCCATGTGCATCCTGGGAGCACTCTTCGGACCCATCCGCCTCCGTGCTCAGTAAGTTTTCTGGGGGTGGAAGGAGACTCAGAAGGTCTGGGGCTCCAGGAAGTGGGTAAGGGCATACAGGTGCCCGGTGCCTCCCCAAGAAGCAAAGGTGAAAAGAATGAGGCAGAAAAGGAAACTGAGGCAATGAGCAAACAAGCCCCAGAGTCTTGGGCCAGGCCTCAGGGCCGGATCAAAATGAGCATTGGCAACATGAAGGTGTGTTTCTGGAGTTGGACGGCTCTATATTTAAATCTGAGCTCCACCGGGTTCAGGGTGTGTGCTATGGGACATGGGAGCTTTCCTCACTGAGGGCCGCTTAGGTCTGAAGGAGGGTTGACTGAGCAGTCTGCTGTGCCCTTTGGGACCTTACGTCTTTCCTTCCTATCCCACAGGAACCTACAAGTGCTGTTCTCTGAGCTGATCCCTTGGGCAATCCAGAACGGGCGCCGGGCCCCATGTGTCCTCAACCTCTTCTATGAGCGGCGGTGGGAGCAGCCCCTGACAGCCCTGCGGGAAGAGCTGCGCATCAGTCTTCCCCCGGCACATATCCAGGGCCAGGCCTAGCCTGCACCGCTGCACTGCTGCACCGGGAGGGCCAAGCCTGCCTCTCCACACACTGCCTTCCTTGGGACAAAGGAGCCCTTCTCTTTGAACCTTGAATACAACGTGTTATTGATCGTAATGTTCATAGTCACTACTGTCATGTGCCTTGAGGCCAGCCCAGGAGAGAGCAGGCAGGGCCGTGAGGGGTCTGTGAGCTATCCAAAGAGAGCAGTTTGTGTGCCTGGAACAGCCATCTTGGATCACCGTGGATTGTTCAGCCCCTCTTCTGGACAGTTACCCTGACAGGGCATTCTGTCAGGCTCTGTGTCTTAGAAGGCTTGACCACTGACTACACCCTGTTCCAAAGCCTTGGAAGGAATGGTGAGGAAGTGGGTGGCATCTCTGAATAAAGGTTCCCATCAGGCCTAGAGTGCTCGTCTCCCTTGGTCTTAGGCCTGAGGTGCTGGTTGTGGGGATTCCTTCCCAAGTTGCTGTCATTGGGTCTGAAGTCAGGCAGTCTAGGAATCAAGTCCCCAGCCAGCAGAAAGCTAACAAGTCCCTTTTTGGGGGGGGCGGGGGAACATGTTTCAAGACAGAATTTCTCTGTGTAACAGCCTTAGCTGTTCTCAAACTGGCTCTGTAGTCCAGGCTGGCCTTGAACTCACAGAGATCCATCTGCCTCTGCCTCCCGAGTGCTGGGATTAAAGGTGTGCGCCACCAGTGCCCCGGTGTCCCTTCTGTTTCTAAGCCAGACTTCTGACATCAACACAGGATCAATGATAGTGCCTATGCAAGAGTCAGAGGATAAAGCTGCTTCTGCCTCCCCCTAATGAGAACCAGCAAAGCGCACCAGTGAAATGGCTCAGCAGTGGAAGCCCTTGCCACTGCCCTGTGGCCGATTTAGTTCCCAGGACCCAAGGTCTCCATGTATGTGCCCATATACACATACACTCAACAAAATAAAATTTCAAAGCTGGAAGAAAATAAAACAGGGCCCATTAGATGATTTATGAAAGTCAAAGCACTTGCCACCAAGCCTGGCAACTTGAGTCCTTCCCCAAGACCCACATATAGACGGTGAAAACCAACTTGTGCAGATTGTCCTCCGATGACCACTTTCATGCCATGGTAGGCATGCACTCACATATGTGTGAAATAAATACAACGTGAAACTTTATTGTTAAAAATGATGGGTTCAGCAGTTAGGAATATTTGTTGTTCTTACAGGGGACTCGGGTTTAGTTCCCAAACTCCACATGGTGGTTCATAACCACCTATAACTCCAGTTCTGTGATCTGTTGCTGTGATCTGTTTCTCTCTTCTGATCTCTCTGGGGCCCAGGCACACTTAGGATGCATATAAATACATGACCATAAAATGTTCATACACATAAATCTTTTTTTTTTTTTTTTTTTTTTTTTTGGTTTTTCGAGACAGGGTTTCTCTGTGGTTTTGGAGCCTGTCCTGGAACTAGCTCTTGTAGACCAGACTGGTCTCAAACTCACAGAGATCCACCTGCCTCTGCCTCCCGAGTGCTGGGATTAAAGGTGTGCGCCACCACCGCCCGGCCCACATAAATCTTTTTAAATGAACAATGAAGTGTTGAGGATATAGCTCAGTGTGGAGCAATTGTCTGACCTGCACAAGGGTCTGGGTCTCATCTCCAACACCACACGTACACATGTAACACCATAGGCAGCATTGATGCTGTCTGTGCTTGGACACACAGGCTCCCGGGGCAGCCCTAGCCCCGCCACTGGCCTGCTCTGCTTCCTTGCGCAGTCTCGTTTCCTCTAAGCCTGTCTCCCATCTTTAAAATGAGTTTGGAACACCTAACGCACATGAGATGGCGGCTTGGTAGGATGGTCCCTGGCAGCACTTGTTACATCATGAGCTCTTAGGAAATGGAAGTTGTCGTTGGCCAGGAAGGTCTATGGTGAGCTCTGAAGTCACCATGGGCAAAGTCAAGCAGAAGGATTGCTATAACTTATAGCTCCTCCAGCCAAAAGAACGAAATGGCTATGTGTAGTTGTGGGTGTGGCTGGTAAACACCTCTGAGCCTAGCCCTGGGGGTCTGGGGAGCCTGAGCTCCCTGGGAGTCTGCCAAGCTGTTCTTGGTTAAGTTAGGTGCTTTCAATGTGCATGTTAGCTCCCGTGCAGCTGTTACAGAGAAGCCACTAAAGGATGGCAGGGCCAAAGAGTCAAGGGAGCTGAGCCTAGAGCAACTTCATGGACCAGAGGCTTCCCTTCCCTCCTATACATAACCACTCTGACAAAAGCAGTGAAAGGGAGAAGTGTTTCAGTCCATCTTGTGGTGAAGGTAAAGCAACAGGAGCATAGAGAAGCGTGTGGGAGCTGGCGGTGGTGCTGCACACCTTTAATCCCAGCACTCGAGGCGGACACAGGCTGAGCTCTGAGTTCAAGGCCAGCCCACATTCCAGGCTTTCTCTTTTGGGCCACCAGCCAGTTCCAAAATCATGACATGGAGACTTATTAGTTATGAATGCTTGACCTTATCTTAGTGCTTATTTTAATCTGTTTCTCTTCATCTACATTTTGCCTTGGGGGTTTTTACCTTCCTCTCTCCTTCCCTCCTTTCCCCCCTCCCTCCCTTCTTTCTTTCTGTTGGTGGAGGGCCCGCTTGTTCATCCAGCCACCCAGCTAGCTTAGACCTGAAATAATCACACAGAAACTGTATTAATTAAATCACAGCTTGGCCCATTAGCTTTAGCTTCTTATTGTCTAACTCTTACATATTAATTTAACCCATTTGTATTAATCTGTGTATCACCACGAGGTCATGGCCTACCAGCAAAGATTTAGCACGTCTATCTCTAGTGGCTCCATGGCAGCTCCCTGACTCTGCCTTCTTCCTCCCAGCATTCAGTTCCGTCTTCCCCACCTACCTAAGTTCTGCCCTGCTATAGGTCCAAAGCAGTTTCTTTATTCATTAACCAACAAAAGCAACACATCAACATCTTTCTTTCTCTCTTCCTTCCTTCCGTCCTTCCTTCCTTCCTTCCTTCCTTCCTTCCTTTCTCTCCTACTCTCACTGTTTCTGATGTCTGGCTGACTGGCGGCTGCCTGGCTTCTGGCTCCAAGCATGTCCTTCTCTTTTCCCTTGTTCTTTTCTTCTCACTCCAGCCTAGATTTCTCCTCCTACTTATTCTCTCTGACCTCAATCCCTGCTTCTCCCTCTCCTGCCTAGCTATTGACTGTTCAGTTTTTTATTAGATCAATCACATGCCTTAGGCAGGCAAGGTTAAACAGCATCTTTACATAATTAAACAAATGCAACATAAACAAATGTAACATACCTTTAAATTGCTAACAAAGGCAGCAGAAAAATGTAACAGATCTTTACACAGTTAAATATTCCAAAACAAGCCTGGTCTACAAACTGAGTTCCAGGACAACCAGAGCTATACAGAGAAACCTTTGTCACAAAATAAACAAGACAAAACAACCAACAACAATAACAAAAAAAAAACAGAAAAGAAAAGGAAGAAGAAAAGTAAAGGCAACAGGTTGCTGAAGAAATGGTTTAGTGGTTGAGAGCCCTTTTTTGCTCTTGACAAAAGACCCTGGTTCAATTCCCATCACCCACATGGGGACTCACAACCACTGATACTCCAGTGCCAGGGGATCCAACACCCTCTTCTAACCTGGTGCTCTCTTCTGACCTACACAGGCACCCAAATACAGACAAAAAATTCCTGCATATCAATTTAGTACCTCTAAATATTTCCCGGTCTTTTGGCTAAGATCAAGTGTATTTTTATCAGTTTAATATCTGATATGTCCTCTATCCAATGACAATATAGTAAGAGGATTTTTGGAGGTAGGGGTTGAAATGGGAGCTTGTTTCACCCATTTCATGAATTGACCTGGTATTTCAGGACCTCCAGGAATGGTGAAAAAAATCCAAACAGCTTTTTTTGTTTTGTTTTATTTTCTCTGTGTAGCCCTGGCTGTCCTGGAACTCATTTTGTAGACCAGACTGGCCTCAAACTCAGAGATGTGTCTGCCTCTGCCTCCTGAGTGCTGGGATTAAAGGCCTATGCCACCACCTCCTGGCTTTCAATTTTGTTTCTTTGTTTTTTTATTTTTTAAACAAAAATTTAAAAGCCTCTGGTCATATCATATGTATAATCAGAAAACAGGAGCAATGAATCACGCAAATGCTCAGCTAGCTCTCTTTTCTTTATTTGAGACAGGTTCTCACTGTGTAGTCGTGGCTAGCCTGAAACTCGCTATGTAGCTCATAGGACACATAGACATCTGTCTGCCTTTGCTTCCTGAGTGCTGGGATTAAAGGCGTGTGTACCGCCACGCCTAGCTAGCTAGTTTCCTTTATTTAATACTGCTCAGAATCCTCTGCCCAGGGTTCGTCACAGGCATGTCCACAGGCCCATCACCCAGGTGACTCTAGACTGTTAAGTTGACAAAACCATCAAAAGACAGTGCCACGTCTGGCCTCAGAGTTGAGGTCAGCTGAGGGTCTCCATGTGCCAACTCCATTTGAGAAGACCACTATATCACCTTTAACTCTTTTTTGTTTGTTTTTCGAGAAAGGGTTTCTCTGTGGCTTTGGAGCCTGTCCTGGAACTCGCTCTTGTACAACAGGCTGGTTTCGAACTAGAGATCTACCTGCTTCTGCCTCCCAAGTGCTGGCATTAAAGGCATGCGCCACCACTACCTAGCAATTATGTTGAATTCTTAACCGGCCAGGAGAGATTTCTTTTTTAATTACTTTTATTTTATGTACATTAGTGTTTTGCCTGCAATTATGTCTGTGTGAAGGTGTCCGGTCTCCTAGAACCGGAGTCACAGACAGTTGTGAGCTGCCATGTGGGTGCTGGGAATTGAACCCGGGTCCTCTGGAAGAGCAGCCAGTGCTCTTAACCACTGAGCCATCCCTCCAGCTCCACTACTTCCCCCCTCCCCCCAGGAGGATTTCTATTCAACAGGTGCAGGTGCAGATGCAGGCTCTGGGCTCTGGGAGAGTGATTTTGTCAAAGCCTGGCTCCTAGGGCCAAGGACTGCATCCTAGCTGCATTTGGCCAGAAGGCAAAGAAGACAGCGCAAGGAGTGTTGGGGCAGATGAAATGCCAGGATGTGGTGGGGGGCCACCCATTAAAGACTTACCTTCATCTCCTCTCTCTGTGTCCAACCACAGCAAGCAGCTTGGAAGCAGAACGTCTTATTCCTCCGTGTTTGGCTTCTTGACCTCAGCCCTAGTCCGGTGTTTTGTGGAATACAGCCTTAATTTTGCCACTGTAGCAAGTTCAGGTAGAGGACAGCAGCTAGTTCCTCACTTGCCACCTTGTAGATGCCCTAAGCAGTCATCCAGAAAGTGTCATATTTATACTCGTGGCTCCCGATTGCCATAACCTTGCTCCTTCTCCCTTTTATTCATTCAACAAGCATTTACTATATTACTTGCTTATCCCTGTGCATGCAACCAGACATGATCTTTCTGCCCAGAGTTATTTTTTTTAATATGCTACAAACTCTTGCTATATTATATGACCTAGACTGGCCTGGTTCTTCCTTTCTCTTTTGAAAAAGAAATATTTTTCGGGGCTGGGGAGATGGCTCAGCAGTTAAGAGCAGTGCCTGCTCTTCCAAAGGTCCTGAGTTCAATTCCCAGCAACCACATGGTGGCTCACAACCATCTGTAATGAGGGCTGGTGCCCTCTTTCTGGCCTGCAGACATACACGCAGACAAAATATTGTATACATAATAAATAAATAAATAATTTTAAAAAAGAAATATTTTTCTATTTTCATATGTATGTGTATGCATGCTGGCAGAGGCTAAAAGAGGACTTCAGATCCCCAGGAGCTAGAGTTAGAGGCCATCATGGCTGCTGAATGTGGGTGCTGGGAATCAAACCTGGGTCCTCTGGTAAGCAATAAGTCTACTGAGTCAACTCCCCAGCCCCCTGATTTTTGGTTGTTTGTTGACTTGGAGACAGGTCTCTCTATACCCCTGGCTGTCCTGGAACTCACTACATATAACATGCTGTCCTGGAATTCACAGAGACTGACTTGCCTCTTGCTCTTGAGTGTGGAGATTAAAAGTATGTATGTGTGTGCCATAGGGGCCACATGCATGAGTGGTGGGCGAAAAAAATTGTATGTCATAATGCCTGGCTCAGGTTCTTTGGTTGATTGGCTGAGTTTTTGGTGCTGGTCCTTAGGCAAGCTGGGCAGGGCTCTTCCACTAAGGTGTAGTCTGATACTCTATGTACTTCAGGATGACTCCAAACACCAGGAGCCATGTCTCCTAGAATTTGATTGATGTGCTCTCTGTGGTCAGAGAGCCTATAAACTATAATAATAAATGTGTCAACACTGCTTCAAATGTGTCCCATAAATCTGCAATCTGCACACTAATGCTGTGAGGTGAGCCCTAGAATCACACACACACACACACACACACACACACACACACACTATTGCTTTGAAACAGTCTCCCAATGTAGCCATGGTTGGCCTCAAAGTCACAGAGATCCTTTGCCTCCTAAGTGCTAGAATTAAAGGTATGATTCACCATGCCTGCCTGCTACCAAAACCTACGTGTGTGTGTTTTTGTTTTTGGTTTGGTTTGTTTTTAAATAATGTCTTTATCTTATGTGCACTGATGTTTTTTGCCTGTGTATAGGTCTGTGTGAGGGTGTCAGACCCCCTGGAAATACAGTTATAGACAACTGTGAGCTGCCACGTGGGTGCTGGAAATTGAACCTGGGTCCTCTGGAAGAGCTGTCCATGTTCTTAACCACTGAGCCATCACTCCAGCACCTTGTTTGCTTGTTTTTTGAAACAGGGTTTCTCTGTGTAGCCCTGGCTGTCCTGGAATTCACTTTGTAGACCAGGCTAGCCTCTAACTCAGAGATCCTCCTGCCTCTGCCTCTTGAATGTTGGGACTAGAGGTGTGAACCACCAGTGCCTGACCACCAAAACTCACTTTTAATAATAATAGGAAGCTGAGATTTGGAACTTTCTGCTGAGAACGTGAATCCAGCCTGTTGGTCTGAAATGTCCATCTCCTATGAACATGCTCACCACAGCCTTCTGTTTTAACCTGGAGATGTCACTTTAACTCACTATCCAGGCCCTCCAAAGGATGAACTCCAGAACAAACTGGTCTAAATCATCATACCAAAATTCCATCTGTATCCCTATAAACAGACCTTAAAACTGCCCCTCCCCTCTTTAAGAACTTTATTGGGCCAAGTCATTGGAGGAGCTACTTAAGAGCAAGTGGCAGTAATAGAGGACTGAAGATGCTTAATTACTCCTTTCAGAGGCTCTGAACCCCGCAGGGCTGTTCGTCTGGACCCTGGCCCACAGTTAGGCACGGGGGCAAAAGTCCTAGGTTTACAAAGGAGCCAACGTTCTGGAGTGTCCTATCAGTCAGAGGCTAAAGTTATTTATGGGCTTTAAATCCATGACGTCAAGGAGATCTTCTGCAGCCGCCATGTCTGGCTCTTCAGCTCTTCCTGACCCTTGCATAGGTGATGAAAACCGTAAAGGAGCTGAGGAAGTAGTCCTACTCAACTGTGGGGAATGACCACTCCGGCTGGGCTAGAAGCCCGGTGTCCTATATATTCTGCCAGAGTCTACAATTTGAGTTTGTCTGTTCATCTCTGCAAGAATCCAGCCTTTTCTTTCAGTGAGTGTTGTTAAGCATTTGTTAAATTCTGTTTCAAGGCAAGTATGGTAGCTCATGCCTGTGATCTCAGGGCTGAAGTAGATTGACGGCAGCAAGTTCTAAGACAGTGTGACCACAGAGTAAGACCCTGTTTCAAAAAATAAACAGGACTGGCAAGAGAGCTCAGAGAGGGTACCTGTCCCCATGCCTGAAGACCATGTCTAATTAGATCCCTGGAGCCTGCATGGTGTAAGAGCAGAACCAACTCCCCCAAGTTGTCCTCTGGGCACTCAAGGTTTTGGTACGTGCGTACACACACAGAAATAAGCAAACAAATATAAAAAAAAAAGTAATAAATAAATTCTACTTGTGCCTCAACTCTGACACCGGATTCTCGAATGGCCATGTGTGCAGGTATAGTCTCCCTGGGTCCTCTGGTCCACGGAATTGCAGATCTGCACTCTCCTTGACTAGGGCATCTAAATCAGCCTAGCCTCGCCAGGCTACTCGGACTACAATTCCCAGCATGCCGCGCGGCTGTACCCACCACTCCCAGAGGGCAGCGGAGGCAGTGGCGCGCGCAGGGCTGGCGGGGCTGGGCGGTGTCGAGCGTGCTGGGGCTGGGTTGCGCTGAGCGCACGAGCTCAGAGACTCGCCCTCTGCGGGACGGGGCGGAAGGTGGTGCTGCGGGCCGGCACAGCCGGTGCGGGTGCGGGAGGTGGGCGGGGGTGGAGTGCCGCGGAGGTACAGACCCTACCAGGGCTCGGAGCGGGCCGGGCGTGCTGAGGCTCGGCTGTGTGCGCCCCGGGGCGGCCGATGCCCCCAGCGCTCCGCACTCCGCTGCCGCAACCGGGCCGCATCCTGACCGGGCGCCGCGCCGCGCAGCCGCAGCCGGGTGAGCCAAGGCGGGGACGGCGGCTTTCTGAGCGGGGGGAACGTGCCAGGCCGAGCAGGGGGAGACGGCGGCACCGGCCGGGGCTGAGGGGCGCGCCCTCCCTCCCCGTCTCCCAGCCCTGCGCTCTGATGTCCTGGCTATCTCTTCACGCTGGTCGGTCCGCGGCACTCCCTCCTGTCCTGTCTTCTCTCTCGGCGGTCTTGGACCGGCTAGTAGCCTCTTTTCTGAGTGACTCTGGCAGGTTAGAGGGCTAAGGATCTTGGGGATCCTGCATTAGTCCTCCCACCCCTAGCTTAATGCTTTTCACCAGAAGATGGTCTCTCTCATAAGGGGTTCCCTGTGATTCAGGCCATGGTCCTCCGCCTAGCT